TAATAAACACAGAAGTGGTAAACATTAAGTAACAATGTTTTGAGAAACAAATACCAACTTTTTTATTTGAGTTACGGTATTTGTAATTTAGTTGTGTTGGGTTTTTTGATTTGTTTAGTATCTAGTGGTGGTTGGGGCAACATGGGTACCTAAAGTTCCACGGATGTGCCCATGAAACCTGCTTGCAAGAGTCTGGCTTTCCTCTGGGCCTTTCCTCCCACCCTCTTCCTACAGGAGATGGTGGAGAGAGGAGGAGGAAGAGGGGAGCAGCCCTAGAATCCCTGGGCTAAACTGGTCAAGGTGACAAAAATGGGAGGGGGGGACCATTCTGTAGGCTCCTGGGTTAACACTGATACCTGGTAATTGGGGTAATGCTGATGAGGTGCACGTTTGGATTCTCAGCGTCCTGCGGAGTTACGAGTGTCGCCTGGTACTAATGCTTGTAGCTCAGTGCTCTGAGAATGAGAACAGAAAGTGTGTCTTTGACGTGAATTGTGGTCTGTGAAGAGAGCATAGAAACCTCTATTTTCAACTCATAATGGAATCAAGAAATTATTTTGTGGTGATAAAAATCTAAGATATTTTTCATTTTAAGTCTTGGGGTAGAGCCTGTGGATAAAGATGTTATTCAGAAGCCTCCAAGAAATCTGAAGGACAGCATTTTGACCAAAAACCTGATTGTTAAAATACTGGTTTCATCAATAATTATCGTGTGTGGAACATTGTTTGTCTTCTGGAGAGAGGTATGATGTGTGCAAAAGTTAGAGCAGTAACAAATTAAATTTAAAACTATTTTTAAATATTAATATTTAAAATTATTATTAAAATGATTTATTAAAATTATTTTTACACCAGCAGTTAGAATTCAGAATGTACTTTAATTGCAAGTTTTATCCATGTTTGTTTAAAAATCTATTCAGCTAGCAGATTTATTAAGCTGAGACCAACAGATGTTGGCTCTGCTTTCACATACTAGCTAGTAGAATTTAAATTCTTGTGATAACTTCTAGTTATTCAGGATTTAAAGCATGATACAAACATGTTGTTTTCTCTTATTGGCAGTTAAGAGACAATGTAATAACACCTCGAGACACAACCATGACTTTCACCTGTTTTGTATTTTTTGATATGTTCAATGCTTTGAGTTCTAGATCTCAGGTAAGTGATTCACACTGTTCATTTACACAAGAAATATTTTTATTCCAAGGAGCATTTTGCTCTGTTCAACTTTTGGGTATTTTGCTGCATATTTAATTAATGTGTGCTATTAAGCTTTGGAATTTCATATATTTAATAGGTCGCCTTAAATTACGGAGAAGTGCTAGTTTCCTTAAGTTGTTTTATGTTATGCAGAGCTGGTAGTGATGCTTCTGTCCTGTTGGGGTTGAGGAAGAAGAAACCTTTAACAAAAGCCAGAGTAATGTTTCCATGTGCTGTTGTTTACGTTTGGTTTGATTTCTTTTTCCTGAAAATTGTCATTTCAGAACTTGTGCCAAAATCTGAAATGTTTTGAAGTCCATAACTTTTATTTTGTAATCAGTAAAGCCCATAACATAAGGGCAACTTTTAAGTTACTCTTTCCATATTGTTTCTTTTTTAAGAGTAAAAAATTTTGTACTAGTTGAAGAAAAGATTGTTAATATACATTACTATGTTTACTCTGGCACTGTTATCTGTGCATCATGCCCTCTGTTTAAGTTTATGATGAAGTTGACACCTTTTCATGCATTGTATCTGAGCTCAGTATGCAAGTCCCTGTGAAGACAGATCTGCGCTCTAATTGTCCAAGAGAAAATGAAATCAGTCTGTCAAAGAACTTATCCTAGGTAACTTCAAACTCAACAGCTAGTTTTTACAGCTTTTTAAAGGCCGGATGAAAAGACTGGTTACAAATTAGTTTCTCAGGTAGACTATTAAAATTATACATACAATATAATATTATTTATTTTATAGGCAAAATCTGTGTTTGAGATTGGACTTTGCAGTAATAAAATGTTCTGCTATGCGGTCCTTGGATCTATAATGGGGCAATTACTGGTCATTTACTTTCCTCCACTTCAGAAGGTTTTCCAAACAGAGAGCCTGAGTATCTTGGGTAAGAACTTTTCCTCTTTAACTTCATGTATTACAGTTTAATTTATACTTGCAAGGTTGACTGTTTTAAAGAGCACTTTGCAGCCATTTTAATACAAAGGAATAAACTTGCCACTAACTTTTTCTAAAGAAAAAAAAAAGTGTTTTATTTGGGAACCATGAGGAAATGCATACATACACAAAAAATGGGTCAGTACAAAATTTCTTAGGTGTTTTATGATGGGTATTTTCAATGGAAATTTTGATATAGGCAAAATTGAAGTACGAACATCCATTTTTTAAAAAACACTTAATCTTGCTATTTGGCATATTTTTATAATAGAAATACCTTAGTTAGAAATCTTAATCCTTTATTTATTAATGAACTGTACTTGGATAAAAAGATAGGAAGATTTTTAAGGGGCTATAGATACATTGCTGCTACAATAGTTGGCCTCATTAAAGCTTGTTATCATTGGAGTAAATGATTGGTGTAAAATGCATGTTGTTATATAATTCTTTATTTTTTGTTGTAGTGTTGTGTTTGAGAATCTATTGTTTCAGCATAAAATCTAATTATCTTGCTTAGACGGATGTTCTTTGTTTTCAAGCATGCTAATAAAAACAGTAAGGTTATGCAGTACCTGGAAAGGTTGAAATCTCATGCCTTTCTTTGTGCCTATACACTGTATGTTAATTTTCTGATCCCACATATATTCTTGCGTCATTTCTTCTGAAATGACCCAATGATCAGAAGGCAACATAAGTCATGAGAGTCTTGCTCTTTCGTAGATCTGTCCTCAGCCTCGAAGAGCAAACCTTTTAAAATCGGGCTGCTGTCTCTTTCAGATTTATTGTTTCTTCTGGGACTCACTTCCTCTGTGTGCATAGTGACTGAGATCATAAAGAAGTTTGAAAGAAGCAAGGAAAAGATGCAAAAACGTGGAAGTTCTTCTTCTTCGTCCGTTTCGTCTTTCCTTGACGTATGATGCATATTGCATTCTTTTGTTTGCAAACTTAGGGATTGCTGTCTGAAGATGTAGGGGAGAGCAAAACAATATTTGGAGGATAAAGAAATCCCGAGGGCTTTTGACAAGCCCTTTTTTTTCACTGTCTAATAATGAACGTTCATGTTTCAAGACTGTTGATAATTTAACTCCCAGGTGTGGGAGTAACAAATGAAATTATGCAACTTTGGTAACATTTTTCCTCAAATGTAAATTTACTTTTGAAATTCGATGGAATTTTGTGTGTGGGAAGCTTAATTTAAAAAAATAAGGGTCTAGGCCCTAGTCCCATTCTCTGCACTTAAGATATATAACTGTGTAAAATCCTTCTCTTAGATATAAATATTTTAGTTTGTTTTTATTTAAAACATTGTACTATTTTACTTTTATGGTGGTGGGACTTTGCTACTAATACAAGGATAAAAATTATTTCAGAGGCATTCCACTGGGTTTAGTCTTGTCACAAGTGCCATATTCCAGCTACTGTATTTATTTACTTTATCCTGCAGTGTGTAAGCGGCTCAAGTAACTTGTGCTGTTTTGTTTTTTTTTTGTTTTTTTTTGTTTGTTTTTGTATCCTGATTTTTTTGCACAGGACGTGACTGCTGTCAGATCACTGTTTTGTTTTTGTTTTGTTCTTTTTTTCTGTGATTGAAAAGCCTATACTGCAATTTGAAGTAAATGTTTGCTTTTCTTAAATTGTGTGGTGTCTCAATGCTTTAAAGGTAACTGGCATTTACACCAGATTGTCCTGCTTGTTCTGGCATCCTTTCAGGTACCAGCTTTGTTTCATCGCTGTTACATGTTCACTTTAGCTTACAACTGCTAGACTGCCCGAGCAAGTCACAAGCCAGGGTAATTGAAGTTATCTTGTAGAACACTGAATTAAAAAACGAATGAACTAAGTCTCACTCTAATGGCACAAAAATCCATTCCTCTTTATGGACAAGTCTGTCTTTTTGCTTCTCCTTTGATTTCTTCTTGATCACAAAATAATTTTTTGCTACAGTGTATCTTACAGTTCTAACTTAAAAAATGACCTTTGGGAACTAAAAACAGAGTGGAGTCTTGACATGGTAAAAAGTAGTTTTCATGTATGAACAATGCCTGGTTACTGTGGTATTCACTAATGAGCTTTTTAGCTACTCCATGTTATTTCCTAATCGTTGAAGAAAATTAATAACATACCACTTTCTGAGCAGAAGACCTGAATAAGGCATCTTAGTCTAGAAAAGAAGTAGGACTTCAGCCACTGAAGAACAAATTTTTTTTACAAAGAAGAATTATTTTGTAGAGGACAAGGTATGTTGGTAATAAACATAGGAAAGTTATGCTTAGCAAAATGAAAAAGGAAGGTTTTGTTTGAGTAAACATTTAAGTTGCAGTCACTAACCCTTTTCAGCTTTCTTGACAAAACAGCTGCTGGAAGTAGGACTTTGTAGACTGCTATTTAGAAAGGTGTTAGAAAAATCCAGTAAACTGCTCTGTTGTTGAGTAGGGATGCCATCTGCTGGTGTTGAGTAAAGAACAGTTCTGTACGTGGAACAAATTTGTTAAATGATGCCATTTCAAAATTTCTCAAATAATTCTTATATATTAAAAATTATTCATAACTTATTGAATAGGTTATGGATAGCATTAACACTTCACATGCAGTGTTAGGTGTGTTTTGAAGAAGAGGTAGAAGAAAGCTAACATTAAATGTCACCACAGGAAGAAAAATATATATGTATACTGTAGATCTCAACTGTCTAATTTCTCGCTTTCATCTTAGCAAGTGGTTTTTCACCTGAGAACCTGTTTAAAAAATAAATAAAATAATTGATGCAAATGAATCAAGGACTTGTGTGGGGGAAAAAAAGCCCAGCAAATTCCAATCCCAGCTGCATGGTGTTAAAAATCATTTCATGAACAATAGTTTCAGTTCTCCCCTCCGAGCAATGCAAAACTGTTAAGGTCACAGAAAGGCTGAGTTTCTGGTGGAGCAGCTCTCAAGGCCTTTGTCTTGTTACACACTTTCTTCTTTCTGCGGCGCTTGGCTTTGGTCTGGGGCTTTTCCTGAAAGAAGTCTGGTGGTACAGTTGACTGCACTGTGTCTAGTAAATCCTGATAAAACTGAGTCATTTTTGGAGTTGAAATAAAATTTTCTGCTGAAGGTGATGATTTAAACTCTTGACACAGTCTCTGCACAAGTGTTCCATTATAAATCCTGCCCAAAAGAAAGAGGAAAATTTCCTCATTGAGAATTATAACAACAGTAGCAAACAGAAGCATGCTGCTGAGAGACCATGCATTTAAGTAACACAATATTCACTGGTGGATGCCAGCAGAATACCTGGTCTACACTGTCTCTGTGTTCATTATCTTTAGGGAAAGGAATCCAAATACAGTAACATTCACGCAGGGAGTTGATGACCCAGAAAGCAGGTGTGTGATGCATTTCATCAGGCACATGTGTGGAAAGGAGATGTCTGAAACACTCCTACCTGCTTATGTCTGGCTCAGCAAGAGGAGAGCCGAGTAGCTGGTTGAGATGAAATCCCATCTGGAGACAGCACTGCCACTGGCAAAAAGAGTGTGCAGCATCTAAATCAAAGGCCATATTTTCCAGTTGCTGTTCCTTCTCCTTTGGAAATAGCTTATACACAATGCTGTCACCTTCAAAACTTAAATCTGTGGGAGCTAGAGTATGGATAAACAAATGACATATACATGAAAAAAAATCTGCAGTGAACAGTAAGAAAGATATCTACAGAATTTATAAACCTTCAACCCAACTAGCTATATTTCAGGAAGAATAAATAGTAATGTGTTTTTAAATACGTGAAACAGAAATTAGAGACATTGAATTGTAAGAATTCAAACAACTATCTCTGAGAATCTTGAAACTGTGAAATCAAATTATCTAATGAGCAGGATTACTGTTACACTAATCTGTGTGTGAGTGGATCAGTTTGAAAAGAGATTCCCAGTGTCCTTTCAGGCTGCTTAGTGGTAACCCTATCTATTAAGCTTTTATAGTCTAGAAACTAAAGAAAAAAATAAAACCCTGGCATGCACAATCAAACCACGGATTCCTCCTGAAGGAAATGCTAATATATGTTCTTACTGCTAATGGCTCTGAATATTACTGAAAGTAGTAAGGACTCACAAAAATTGTTTAAATTTTAATTCTCTCAGTGCACGGGTATATAAAGTCTGCCTGCACAAGTTAATACATTTTTAAGTAGAGATGATTTTAGAAAAAGCGCTCCTGAAAGAAAAAAAAATACATATCAGAGTACATATAACTGGAGTTACTCTTTTTTGAGGCATGAAGCTGTTAAGTTTGCAGAAAGAAATTATTTTGCATTTTTGAACCTTATACATAAGGTAATCTTTTGGTCCTAAAAAATTTACTAATGCAAAGCAATGTTTTACATGACATAAAAGCACTATTTCACCTAGTGTGTTGAACTGTAGGATAGCACTGTTTCACTGCTCTTCAATGAAAGGAAGTCACACTTCAGGAAATAATGTAAATCAGTGCTAATTCATATGAATTCGTACCATTAATTAAGGAAAAAAAAAAAAAAACAACAGAGGAAAAAACCCCAAGAGTTAAGGTATAGGCTTTCATATTAGTTGAACATCTAAAATAGTATTCCTCGGACACCTACCTGTGTCCTGTGTTGTGCTGTGTAATTCCCCAGATACTATCATTAGAAGCAAAGCCTTTAACTGATGCAGTTTCACTTTTGGTTCTGAACTATGTATCCAGTAACAGGTTACAGCAAAAGGGAGCTGTAAGTGACTGGGGACAGACTCCAGGATACTTTTTTTCACTCCTAGAGTCTCCAGCAAAAGCATTAGACGACACGATATGGGCACCTGTAAATGAAAGAAAAAGTCAAGAGTACAAAAAGAAAGGGAACAGACTTCATTTGCTGCAAGCAAGTTCATGCTATTTCCAAAATGTGAATGAACTTCAACTAGCCTGTGCTTCAGATTTCCCATAAAAATATGGTTTTGCTAAGTTGCACAGACACTCTGAACAGGACATACTAAGTACAACTATGTTTTGGGGAGAAGGATAACAGTAGTTTTTTACAAGCCTGAAGTCAATTAGATTTTTCAAGATGTCAGAGTCCCCTGCAAAATCAGGTGATTTAAGTTACATGCAAAAACCAACCTGCCTGGAAAATCTGGTAACCAAGATGTATTATAGTCACTTTGGCACGACAGATAAATATGTATAATTTCATTATGTGCCTTTTAGAAGTTACTTAAGAGTTGTAATGCTTACACCTATTTTGATGTGCTAGAAGCACACTCACCTGCAGTAGCGATGAAAACTTCCATATGAAGCTTGCATTTATTTTCACATGTGAACTATGAACTTCCAGCACATGTGCATAAAAAAGAAAAGCTATGTGCCCTCTTTGTCTTCAACTGATGTGCTACAACTGACCCAAAAGCCTCAACAGATACAGGACATAACATGCAAGGGGTAAAGTATATTGAATTGCTAATGCCAAACTGACACTTGCCAAAATTGCTAGTGGGAGAACTAACCATTAGCAGTTTTTCTTTTTAAGCTGTTTTCCCGGTGCTATTCTGTCTGGCAAGTAGCAGCTTCTGTTGAGCCAGGCTACAGAACTGCTGGGCAGGTGGGAGATTGATAGATGGAAATAACGGTGATGTAAGAAAAGGTATGTGCCAGATTTTGCTTCAGAATATTGTTTTGGAACATTCATGGCCTGACCAAGTGTAAAGTAAGTTTCACAGTGTTGAAAGAAATGCATTTTTCTAAATCTCACAAAACTGCTGAGTGCTTTCCTAAAGTGAAAGAAGCAAGTATTAGTTTAACAGACTACAGAGGGACAAAAGGAGATATAACGGAAAGCTTAAGCAATGCTGAACACAGACACAACGGACTTTTCCCATAATTTGTCTAGGTACTCTCAGAAAAGGAAAGAAAATTACGCAGCTCCTCTTACAGGACAAGCTGAGAAGCATTTAAGCACTTGAGTACTTAAGCGTATTGAGTATATAGTTATTGTGGGAATCATCAGCGAGACATCTTAGTGCAGGCATCACATTTAGAGCATCAGTTTGTCAGCATGAATCCCGACTCAGAAAACATTATTAACTGTGGTCTGCTGTGATAACCATTTACCTCTCTTAATCTCTCCAAAGGAAATGGCTCAACACAAAAATCTGCGGGCAGGCTTGCTGCTTGAACAAATCTTTTTTCAATGGTCTTTTGGATTCTGCCAAACTCGCACACACCTGGCAGCTTGTTGGCCTGCTGCCTCCTCGGCGCAGCAGCGCGTGCCGTGCCCGGCAGCAGCGCGTAGATGACCTGCCGAAGGGGCCGCGCCGCGTCGTGCGCGCTGCCGCGCTCCATGTCCTCCACCTGCACGGGGAGGAAGGTGCTTCCCAGGCGCAGCACGTTGCAGACCAACGGCGAGAGCTCGGCCGCGGCCAGCGCGTCGAGCACCCACTGCGGCA